TTCAAAAATCAAAAATCAAAAATCAAAAATCAAAAATCAAAAATCAAAAATCAAAAATCAAAAATCAAAAATCAAAAATCAAAAATCAAAAATCAAAAGTTAGGGTTAGAACCCTAACGCAAACCCTAATCAACTAGGGTATGTGCTAGGGTTCTAACCCTAACTTTTGGTTAGAGTTAGGGTTAGGGTTAGGGTTAGGGGTTAGGGTTAGAACCCTAGCACATACCCTAGCTGATTAGGGTTTGCGTTAGGGTTCTAACCCTAAATATAAGGTATCCATATCACTAACCCAAACCAGTATTAGGGTTATAACCCAAAACTTTATAGACTCAAAAAGAATGATGACCAATGATAGATCAAAGACAAAAATAAAAAATTTCTTCATTAGCAAGTTTATTGAATTTTCCTTTACACAATGACCACAATATCACAGTCTTACATCCCGGAAGTACATCAATCTAAAACGTTAACATAATCAGGAACTTAATCCCAAAGATTAAAAGATATACTGACTTCTAATCCCGAATACAACTTAGCCATGTGGGATCTAGAAGCAGAATATTCATAACCATTTGAAACTAAAGTCGATCTGACTAAGCAATAAGCAATAACTTCTCCATGTGGGATGCATTATACCCATTAATTCTTAGGTAGAACTGAATCTATTATTTTACTATTGTTTAGAGTAGGTTTCGACCGTCTTCTCAAGGTTGCGTGCGCATCCAACATGTCGGGCCTCAAAACTGAAAAACGCAAATTCAGTAAAATTGAGAAGACAGTTTTAAATTTAAAGTGGAGAATAATCAATTTTATGAATTCTTATCGAAAAAAAATTCATAGCAATGCATGATAATACTCGTGTTCTGGTATATCGTGTCCCGTTAAGCTCCTTAAATTTGGATGCGCACGCAACCTTGAGAAAACGGTCTATTGATGGGTTACAAGCATTCCCAAGAGAGTCAAAAGACAAAAACAAAAACATGGCGCCCATTGTGGTACCGTTAACAATGGATGCTAATGAGAAATCTTTTGTTAAATGGAACCAACATGGTCACGATGCAGTGCACTGTCGAACTGTTTTCATGGGAGTAAATAGACGTTATTTTGAAAATATGTCTCCTAAAACAGTGCAGCAATACACTACAAACTTTGAGCCAGTTTTTCTCAACAACGGAATGTCTAATACATCTAAGTCCAAAATGGCGCACGGCTGAATGTGTCACATGAAAACGAGGCATCCAGGGCCGAATGCAAAGAAATAATATGGTATCAATGCAAAGTATACACTTGTTCATTTGTTCTGTCTTTCTTTTCTTCTTACATTCAGGAACGCGACAATTTTGCGGCATCAAATTATAAGAAAACACTGTAAATTTGTAAATTTGGCCCTGGATGCCTTGTTTTCACCGGCCGTGCGCCATTTTGGATTTAGGTGTATAGAGAARGGTATTTCTGTGCTCGCAACCAATACACGACTTTCATAAATGGCTACTTCTAGTTAACATAAAAGCTGAATTAACGATTTTGGAAGTGAAAACCCTTTTAAATCATKGAACTTKTTAAATYAGATAATGTGCGCGAGTTTCTAATCAAAGTAACAAATCCTTGACAAGATAGGAGCTTTTCAAAGTTTTGAATATGCAAAAAACCATGCCCTCCAGTGATAAWTATCACGAAACTCTCTATTTTCGATTTGTCATAACTCTTTGGTATTCTATCAAATTTAACAAAATTTTCTGGAAATAGTTTTCACGAAGTACTTTCTCAAACAAAGCATCGATAGTCACTGATAAAAAGGCATGATTTTTTTTWWAACCCTCTCCCATCTCCCATCTCCCCGACCGTTGGGAGATGGRAGAGGGTTTCAAAAAAATCCTCTGCTCGCAGGGTAGATTTTCTCTGAAAAAAACCCTGAATYATGAAAGTCGTGTGCTATGGTAATAAGGTAATCTCGACACGTTAAATGAAACCACSACATTCAGCATGATGAGTTATTACGTGTGGGTTCAGCGATAGCTTGTTTAATCACTGTTGTTTTCTTATTTCTCTCGTTCTGCGAGGAAAAAAAAGATATATCGTTAGTTTCGACAGTAATGGGAAAAAAAAGGAAGAAATGAATGACTGAAAATAATTATGAAATGAAATAATTTTGTGTAATTTAATGCGCGCGCACATATGCCATGGTTTGATCGCGTTTTT